TCCCGCACCCGTCTGATTCGCCCGTGCCCACAGTCCGTCGTGGCCCACGTCAATCCCGCGCGTTCGGCACCAGCCCGTCGGGTCGCCCAACTCCTGCTCTACTCACCTCTTTCCTCGCTCGTGTGCCGACCCTTCCTGATCGCGCCACCCCGAGCTTCCAACAACGGTTAAGAGAGCTAACTAATCGCGCAGCCGAATTTTATAGCGTGCATGCATGCGCGAAGAACACGAAATTACCAAGACTTAGAACGAGGATTAGAGAGGGAGTACCTGCGTTCTGCATGATCAGGCCGTGGCGTGGGGGACGTAGCCCTTCTCCACGCATCGATCCGAGCATGCAAGCCACAGCTTAAAAAATCACAGCAAAAGAAAGAGAGGGAGGGCGGGAGAGACGAAGTGCAAGAAGGAAGATACAATTACGATGGCGCCCGCCTAAAATTACAGTTACACACGCGATTAAGAGCGCCCACTAATCCGAATACCGTTGCAGCCGCATGAAGAAGCGTGTAGACAAAAGGCGTCGCGCGGCAGAAAAATCATAATTACTGAAGTCCTAAATTTCTATCTAATGCGAAAAAGCAAAAAGCACGAACTTCAGGGGGAAAGTCCGAAATTCCGAGAGCTATCGGGGCTCGACAAAATCCAAAAAGAGACTCAAAAGAAAATTTTAAAAAGAACGAAGCAAATTCTCGTGTGATGTCCGCGCCCAAATGACCGAAACCGAAACGGAAGAAACGACGTGAACATTTATTAGTCGCGCGAGCGGTGGTGCGCCAGCCATCAGCCGACCAATCAATCAATCGGCCGTCCCCAGACACACCCAGCTCTGATACCAACCTCATATGAAATGAAGCGACGAAAAGGAAAAAAAAGCAAGGGCACCGATGCAATTTTCCACCGATCCCGATCTCCCGTAATTGGCCCAACCTTCCCAGCTTAGGACCCCTCGTTGCGACTGCGCAGAAAATGGCGCGTTACAGAAAGTGGTTCGTCACACCGGGTCCAGCATCCCATTGGAAACCATATTTGATAACATATACAGAACAAAATGAGATATCAGGGCCATTACCCGGCTTCGGATGCGAATAGCAATTACACCTTTTCTAAGGGTTATGAGCAATTACTAGCCTATTCAACAAAGGGCCTCATGAAATAGCCTAAAGTTTAGAAGGAAAATGAGGACTCTCTTTTCTGGCTACAATTCAAAGGACCTATGAGAACCTTCTTCGCCCCTGGTGATAGTGGTGGTGATAGGAGCAACCACCACTACCATGCGGGGAGAGGCTCCATCTATTGGTGGGGAGCATCACCTGCTGGAAAGCGGGTCCAGCGTCGAATATACAAGATTTGGATCAGAGACTGCAGAGGACCCTTGCCAGCATTGATTACCCTGAAGACTAGGGGATTGACTAAGCAAGGTCTCTGAGGAAACTGAAAAAGGCTGGAAAAGGCTGGGAATACAGGTTGTAACAAATGCAGAACAAGTGCAGAGCAGAAGGCGGGGGAACCTCTTCACCCTATTTGGGTGCCAGATACTCTCACTACTCCCTAGCTCCCA